TGTTGATTGTCTTTGTAATCAGCATTTTGAGTACTATTTCATTCAGAACATTTATTCCTGGGGTAACAAAATAATGGAAAAAAAGCTGAAGTTAATAATGATTTATTTGGTATATTTCTTAACAATAGTATAAAATACATAATAAAACACTACATTACAAATGCATGAAAATCAGCAATAAAAACAATGCAAACTTTTTAATATCACAAAGATTAACGAGTGCAATCGCAGTTCCATGTGCATGGTGCATGGGTTAGGTGTAAATTCAGCAGAACGAAATGCTTGGCAACTGACAGCTGTACAAAAGAGCCAGGTCAGATGTGTGCCCAGTGGTGTTTGTTTTTATTCTTGGTTTAAAAAAATATAAAAAAAATTCCTACCGCCATCCTCACTTTAGAGAAAAATGTGCTTGACAAACATTTAATGTTGTTATGCACCATGATTTGAAGTAATACAGTATGAGTTATAGATTTGGAGATTAACTGCTTTCATCAGTTTTCCAGTTATATCATCTGTGTCAGTCTAGTGTGAGAGAAAAGTCCAGAGTGAGACCGGTAATGGATGCTGAACACTTTCATGAACTGAACAAGTACTGATATGAAGCTCATGAACCTACGGGCAACCCAGTCGTCTAAGGTGCCATGATTCGCTGTGCAGTGTTGCGCCCCTTGGGCATGCCAGAAACATATGATTGTGGGTTCGAATCCGGTTCGCCCCAATTCAGTTTCTAGGTTTGTCAGCACCATACCCATGCTCTTGGGTTTCACCAAAGTGGTAAACGTCTGAGACCTGCATCACTTCGGGCTTTCCTCCCACATTAAGCTGACACGCCATGATATAGCTGGAATATTGTTAAAATCGTGTTAAATCAAACTCACTCACTCACTCACTCACAAACCTACTGTCACAATCACATTGGGACTACCAAAATCTCATTAAAATCAGATCTTAGTTTTCGCTACCGCTAAACAAAGATCTGAGCACATCCCATTACAGGTCACGTCAGAACGACCTTTCGCGAACTTTGACCGATCAATGAAATGAATGACAAGAAATCGACATTAGCCAATCAGAAGGCAGCTTTCTCGAGCTTTACAGCGCTAGGTTCTAACTGGCGACTTCGCTTCGAAACATATTTTGATGTATTCTCGATTTAAAAAAAATAAAACTGTTAAAAAGAACATTCTGGAATGGCTCACAGATGGCCTAGATTGTATGGATATAATCATAAAACCCGTAACTGTCGGAATACCCTCTGTTAAATATTTCGAGGTTGCATGATTAGAAAACACATTCCGTCTGTCACTTTCATGATCTGGTAAGCGAGGCTCTGATTGGTTGGATGAAAGGTCGTTCTGACGTGACCCGTAATGGGATGTCCTCAGATCTTTGTTCAGCGATAATGAGAACTAAAATCTGATTTTAATGAGATTGGGACTACCAGGACTCGTGATTAGTCACTCACGTGATATATTGTTAACTGACAATACCAATAAAACTCCAAGGTCACTAATGTCCGCATTACTTTCAGACTATGCATGCATTCCTTCTGTCATTTTATTTTTCAATAAAGATGAAGCTTCAGTCATCTTCTGTGTATGTATGATCAGATCGTCTTATTCAAACATGTATCAAAATACACATTTTGTGCCCAATTCTTGAGACCAACAGTGGGTCAGGGATCCCTGGCAGTAAATTTGGACCCATCCCAGCCCTCTATCTAATACACACAGAAACAATCTCGGTCAATCGTGGGCAATGATCGTCAAACACTCTTACAGGCAGGTCCGTCTTTACCTTGTATTTGTCTGCATGTCAGATCATTTGTTCGGATGTGACTGGATTTATTCAGGTGTTCTTTGGTTGATGTGCTGAGTGCTAAAAATATTTTCATAAAAGCAGGACATTTTCTTGCATCTGAAGGAACAGTGGTGTGGTGTAAATATTCATGACTTGATTCTTGCACAGTAAAACTGTATTTGTGACTTCAATATGAAATATTCAATTAATAACATCAACATATATCCTGATATCTAAGACAGATCATGTGCAGGGATGTACGGAATGTAACCTCCACAAGGATACAATGAAAGTATCTACATTTAACATGATGACTCAAAATGAATCTTTATCCGTAAAACCTTCAATATTTCATAAACTAATGGACAGTTATCACACAAAATAATCCTTAAAAACATAATACAGTGAAAATACAAAAACATAATTATTTAAAAACCACTATCACTATCTGCTACCACAAACATTCACGCCATGGGCGGATACAGCTTTTTTAAAAATGGGGGGTGCACAATTAAGATCTATTTATTGTCTTTGGTGGTAATTTATACAGAAATAAAGATTTTTTTCGAAATAAAAAGGGGGGTGCGCACCCCCCCCCCCCCCCCTCTGTATCCGCCAATGCAAGCCATTATGATGATGTTGTTCCTGTTGTTTTTGGGCCGGGACTCACTAACCATTTAAACCAGTAAAAGTGACACATATGCCATGTTCTTCTTATAATTGGTTTACAGATATGCCGACCATAAAAATATGGAAAGTTGAAAAATATAATTCTCATTTGAGAGGTTTTTTTTATTTAGTGCCTACTTAGCACTTTCAATAAAGTATACCACAAATTGTTTTCATACATTCCAAACACAAGATATTAAACTCACCACGACTGCATGTTTCACTAATTGTCCAGCATGCTGGCCATCATGACATTGTGCGTGCGCGGGTGCGCGCATGCATGCAGCACTTAAAATTTTGTGAGACAAAATCTGTAAACCAACGAATAAAAGAACGAAAAGGCCTATAAGGCTAAAAAAATAATAGTCTTGGTTCTCAGGCACCGCCCGCATCATCATAAAGTTTGCCATACGTTTCGTTTTTATTTCCATTTAAAAACAACAACCAAAATCCTTAAATATTCAAAGTCCATCGGTAGTCAAATACTGTATTCCAGTATTTTACTCATCAAGGAATACATTTATGTAGGGAGGCCCTTTCCCAGGTTGATTGAACACAATTGTTTATTGATTACACAACTGTTTATTGGTTACTGGTTACTAGTTGACCCCACCCCCCCCCCCCCCAATAAAAAAAAAGAAAAAAGAAAAAAAAAAAGGACACCGACCACACCATATTTTCAAAAACCATTGCCTGAGAACCAATTCTTTTATTTTTTTAAGCCTAAGTGATTATGCAATATGCAAAATTATTGAGAAATTATTATTTAATCATAGCATAGTCAAACCCGGGCTTGTTGATTCTAGTTCATCAACAGATTCCAGTGATTTATTTCTCCATTACCTAATAACATCAATATGACTACAAAATGAAACAACATAGTTGACAGGAGCACAGCTCAAACAGAAATGAAGCAAAGCACATGGTATAAAGCACTGGCAAGAAGAGTAACAACAACAGTTTACATTCCAGTACATAGTATGTGGTTTCAATCAACTGAAGAAAGTCACATGAAAGACTGTGGGGGAAAATAGCCTCAAATTTAGAGAACATTAACATCTCCAAGTTTATGATCGTTTAATCCAAATTTAATTAATACTACGATTCTTTCAGTTTAACAGTGCCTTTAAAAACTGGCAAGATTGATTCATTCGTGTTCAATGCTTTGAACTGCCATGGGAATTGATAAACAGAAAGCATGAATAAAAAAACCCATCTCAATAATCAATATATTCTCCCAAGATAACATTGGAAAACTGGATTATAGTCTTGCCATGGATTGGAATGGAAGACATTGGAATGACATTTTTTGGCAAAAGTGTTATTAATTTGCTATCATACCTCAAACATGATTGGCTGAACAATAAAAGGAAGTACAGAGCAACAAGAAGCTGACATGCCGGGGCCATGTTACAGATGCTGGGTGTGTCTCATATCACATCCCCAGTGGGGAATACAGGTTAGAACTGGTCCCCAACAACCTACAGCAAACTACGTTAATAACGAACACACTTATAATGAAATGACCGATATAACAAACTTATTTCTTAATCCCAGCCATTTGTTGCATATATATGCTGTATATATGCTCATTATGAACTACAGTTATTAGGAACTAAAATTAGCGGTCCCTTTGAGTTTGTTATAACCGTAGTTTACTGTATGTTGGTTGTTATGATGATCAGGGTCAGGGTCACTTGATAGCATGTCAGCGTGTCCCAATTGATAATCACTCACATTTATTTCACTCATTTTACTATCAAAGACCCATCTCTGTACATATAGAATTGACCCGTGCAATCCGAGAGAGTAGGTCTTCAGCAACCCATGCTTGCCATAAAAGGCGACAGTGCTTGTTGTAAGAGAAGACTAACGGGATGGGGTGGTCAGGCTTGCTGACTTGGTTGATGCATGTCATCCACTCCCAATTGGGTAGATCGATGCCCATGATGTCAATCACTGGATTGTCTGAACCAGACTCGATTATTTACAGACCGCCGTCACATAGCTGGAATATTGCTGAGTGCAGCGATAAACAACAACAAACTTATAGAATCTCACCTGAGAGTCAAATATTTCAACACGGGTCAATAAAAGATTATATTTGTCATCCAACTAGATACTTCCAACTTTCCGTTTGTAAACAGTAATAGCTAGTGTCTTGAATGCAATAAGTAGAGCTAACCAGCCCCCGAATGAGTGGTATAAGTAATGTAATTTGATTGTGACATCATGGTGACCGATGACATCACAATGGTCTGCAAAACATTGTGATGCAATTTCACTGCAGCTGTATCTCCTAGAAGAGATCACTTCTAAACACCCAAGCAAGACCTCCTGTGGAAGCCAGTTTTGGATGAAAGAAATGTTTACACAGAGAGAGTTGATAGTAAAAAACCCAGATTCCTGTGCTATTTGGAGTCCTGGTGACTCGCTACCAAACTTGAGGATCTGTGAAGTCTTATGCTAACTGTAGATAGGATTTTCCTTGTTCAAAAACAAATCTGGTGATGAGTGAAGAAAGCTGGACATGAACCGGTACTGTAAAATTTATGTCCAGACTTCGATGACTGAAATCAAAGTGTCTTGTTTGATCCAAACAGACAATTGGGGGCACTCGCAGGGCAAATTATTTGTGCCTATTGTCTGTTTTTATGCCTATATGGTATGATCGTTTATGTCCGTTAAAGTATCACTAAATAATGCCACACCTTACACTCAGTGTCATTTAGAGCACGTCAGTTTCTTCCTGCAGGTGGCTCAACATATGATCACAGGATTCCAGAGTGGTTCTCTTTGTCTCAGCACCATCAGTAGAAAGGAATAGTACCATTCCACAGAACATTGGCACCGTACCACCTGAAACAGACAAGCAGGTCACAGAAGCCTGGTGTGAATGCAGCAGCTGTGGCTTAAAACAATAAAAGAATTGGTTCTCAGGCAATGACTTTTGAAAATATAGTGCGGGCGGCTAGATTTTTTGTTTGTTGTTGCTTGTTCAAATAGTATGTATACAAATAAACAGTTGTGTACCATAAACGTGAGAAAGGGCCTCCCTACAAAAACAAACATTCAAACTCCTATTGCCGCCATGGCTTTAACACGAAATGCACAGTAAAGCATTGTGCATGTAAAGGGAAGTAACTTTTTGCAATATTGGATTGCATTGATTTTAAGTATTAGGATTTCTTATATTTTTCTAAAATGGAAATAAAAACGAAACATGTGGCAGACTTTATGATGATGTGAGCGGTACCTGAGAACCAAGACTATTATATTTTTTAGCTTATTGACCATAATTTTAAAAGAAAACTTGAACTTCAGATACTAAGGATTCTAAACGATGCTACCACTGCGTGACATGAGAATGCAAGCTTTAATAATGGCAATTTTGTTTCATACAAAAGCACAAACATATTCAAATTTGTATGAAAAGAAGTTTGTTCTTGATAAAAACATGACATTAGGCTTAAAAAAAATATGTTCTCAGGCAATGTTTTTGAAAATGAAGTGTGGGCGGGTGGTGTCTTTTTTTTGGGGGGGGGGGGGGGTTGTTCAAACTAGTATGTAACCAATAACTGTTGTGTAATCAATAAATCAATAAACAATTGTGCACAATCAACCCGGGAAAGGGCCTCCCTACCTAAATGTATTCCTTGAGGAGTAAAATACTTGAATACAGTATTTGACTACCGTTGGACTTGGAATATTTAAGTATTTTTTATAAACAAAAATTAAAAGGAAATAAAAACGAAACGTGTGGCGAACTTTATGATGATGCGGGCGGTGCATGAAAACCAAGACTATTATTTTTTTAGCCTTAACATGAACTTGAGTCCATTAAGATTGTCCAAGAAGCTGCTGCTGCATGCTATGAGAACCCATGCATTAATCTTGCAATTCATTTAATCCACCAAAATTGTTTGCTTCTTTGTTTGTAGTTTTATTCCGCAGTCAGCAATATTCCAGCTATATGATGGCAGTCTGTAAATAATCGAGTCCGAACCAGACAATCCAGTGATTATCATGAGTATCGATTCATGCATTTTGGATACGATGACAAGCATCAACCAAGTCACTGAGTCTGACCACCTGATCCATTTCGTTGCCTTTTACAACAAACATAGGTCGGTGACCAATTGTAACCCGGAATCCCCATGCGTATGATCCAAAAGAAGAAAACAATAAGTTCAGTATGAAATAGAATCTAGCTCTGTGTCCCTCTCCCCAGGCCAACTTACTTGGTCATGATGCAATGCTCTAGGGCAGGGATCTTGTCATCCTGATCCCGTCTCAGCAGCGACGTCTTAGGGCGTAGACGATTGTATCGGGTGTCTAGGATGAAAAAACATCATAGCAACAATCACACAATACATCAGTATATGTTTTGTTACCATAAAGGTCAGATATCTGTAAGTTTCAGAATCGAGCATAGACCTGCAGGTCACCTGCATGTGTGAGGTCTTCAACATCATCGTCCATATTTCAAAATAGTTGGCACTGTCAACCATCAACACAATGTTACAACCAGCTGTTGGCATGGTCAACCACCAACACAGTCTTACAACCAGCTGTTGGCAAGGTCAACCACCAACACAATGTTACAACCAGCTGTTGACATGGTCAACCACCAACACAATGTTACAACCGGCTGTTGGCAAGGTCAACCACCAACACAATGTTACAACCAGCTGTTGGCATGGTCAACCGACAACACAATGTTACAACCAGCTGTTGGCATGGTCAACCGACAACACAATGTTACAACCAGCTGTTGGCATCTTCAACCACCAACACAATGTTACTACCAGCTGTTGGCATGGTCAACCACCAACACAATGTTACAACCAGCTGTTGGCAACTTCAACCACCAACACAATGTTATAACCAGCTGTTGGCAAATTCAACCACCAACACAATGTTACAACCAGCTGTGGGCATGGTTCACCACCAACACAATGTTACAACCAGCTGTTGGCAAGGTCAACCAGGCCACCAACACAATGTTACAACCAGCTGTGGGCATGGTTCACCACCAACACAATGCTACAACCAGCTGTTGGCATGGTTCACCACCAACACAATGTTACAATCAGCTGTTGGCATGGCCAACCACCAACACTATGTGATTGACATCTGGTTTTAACAGTTTTCATTTCACCAGAAATCAGTTTATATTAACTCAAGTTGAATGTCAACCGAATGAAAATATACAATGAGTGGGAAGGCTTCAATGCTGGAGGCATTTATAAAATCTCAGACTCACTCTGTGAAACTAATGACTGATAGTATAATGCTGTTTGTTTGTTTGTTTTATTAATATTAACATACTTTGTGTTTGTTTGTTTGTTGTGTAACGCCGCACTCAGCAATATGCCAGATATATGATGGTGGTCTGACAAAATTGAGTCTGGATTGGACAATCCAGTGATTGCCATCATGAGCAGCGAACAACACAGTTGGGTATGATGACACGCATCACCCAAGTCTGACCAACCAATCCTGTTAGTCGCCTCTTACAACAAACATGCTGAAGACCAATTCTAACCCGTGATCTGTGAAGATTCACAGGGTGACAAGACAACATGGATGATGAAACTTACTACAGATCATCTACTTCTTTACTACAGCTGTAGTGGTGAATCAACACCATCATCATTGCTTTAGCTACATATCCAAATTCTACATGCCTTTCTTACATTTCCAGATTTGTCAGCACCATACCCATGCTCTTGGGTTTCAACAAAGTGGTAAACATCTGAGACCTGCACCACTTCAGGTTTTCCTCCCGTATTAAGCTGACAAGCTGTGATATAACTGGAATAGTGTTCAAAAGGCGATACTTAAAAGCCTTTCAAAGATCTCTCCTTATACAAGGCGATCTCACCGAGAGCTGTGCAGTCCATCAGCTACAATTTATTACAGTGTCACAGTGTTACTGTCTACAACTGCTGATGGCATATTACGAACAGCGTGTGACAGAACCCTTGGTTTTAATATTCTATATTCATTAAAAGTCATATTTACAATAAGTGTGAAACTAGCATTACTGGAAGCATTCATAAAATCTCCCTGTTCCTGTGTATCCAAGGCAACTAACCAATGGTGAGCTGTGCAGGCTTCTCCTGGGTGACGAGCCCCGTGTAGTAATGCAGGGCAAAGCGGTGCTCAGCTCGCCAGTCACTGACCAGGTCCACGTTGGTGCTGAACAGCAGGCCAAACTGACCATTCACCTTCGTCAGCCACACAGGGAACTTGGGGGTCTTCAACATACTGCCCACCTGGAGGTACAACATACTGTTAGGGACCACCATTTCATATTCTGGGGAGGGGCCTGGAAATTTATTTGGGAGACTGCTATATATTTTTGGTCACTGCTTAATATATAAAAATCATTCTTTGATGGTGGAGCCAAACAATTTTTATTTCATCTTACATATTTTTTCAGGCTATCCTCATTATTTAAACAAAAAAAGCAAAAAAAAAAGCTCCCAGGCCCCGTGACAAAATTAAATTGTCGGTCCCTTACAACATATGCTCAATACAAATATAAACACACAATCATCATTATTAGTGATAGTGAAAACCAAACCAACAAGCAACGTATCTGGGTTATTAGGTAAGTTCCTCATTACTGAAACACCTGACATGATAGATATAAGCAGCCCCACTGACTCTTGGAAGTTATCCAGGCCATCCAGGCCTACCGCAGATTTGGGTGTCCCTTCATTTTGGCTACGAATACTTAATCATAACCTGTATCATCCGTGTGGATGCAGTGGACTGTAATAATATTCTTTATTAATAAGTGTCCTTCGAAAGTTTCAATGTTTAAAAATGATTTTTTATAAAAATAATCTTGGATGTGGTGAAAATAATATTTTTTCAACAAAGTGTGAGCATGTGAGTGATTTGGGATGTTGTTTTCTGAAACAGCAATCATCAAGCTATATCACAGAGGCCTGTAAATAATCAAGTCTAGGTCAGGAAAACCAGTGGTTGATAGCGTGAGCAACGGTCCACGTCATCGAGGTACTGGCCAGGTCACACATTATAACCACACACACTCCATTTAGTCAGCTATTCTTGTGACAGACATGGGGTCCTGGGGACTTATTCTGTTGTGTAATGCAGTGTTAGAAATTGGCACTAGTCCTGTAGTCCTTGCCCAACTGGCCAATAGTTAAGGTATCATATAGTCTAATAAGGACTAGTAGAAATTTGCCATTTTTAAGGGTTTTGCTATATGTTATCATTATGAGGACTAGTGGACTAAATATGTTAGTTTCTACCCCTGTAATGCCCACAGAACCACCAGTTAGTGAGTGAGTTATATTCTCTTCCTGTAGCCTTGTCCTCTCCAGAACTGTGCACAGGTCAGTTTCTACCCTTGTTTCATCTTAGAGCTGTATAAAATAAACATAAATAAAAGTTTGTTGTTGGCAACAATCAAGCAATACCATGGCAGGGGACCCAAGAAATGGGCTTCACACATTGTACCCATGTGGGGAATCAAACCCAGGCTTTCAGTTTGACGAGTGAACGCTGTAACCACTAGGCTACCACATCTCCCAACAGGGTGAGAGAGACCTAGGGGGGAACAGTGTACCTCGGTCCTCTCGTCATCCGCCTCCCCCTTGTCCCAGAACAGGAAGCCGACCTCGCTGCGCTGCTTGCTGCCCCGGACAGGCTGGCTCTGAAGGAACAAGGCAAACACTTTAGTCCTTTTATCTTTCTTAGATGGTTTACAAGACTGGCTGACAAAAAAACAAAACCAATGAGATAAGAAAAGGAAAAGAAAAAGATTTGCTGACTCTGTATCACAATTAGATTTATTTTAAAAAAGAAGAAGATATTTATCATCGGGGTTCAAGAAATGTGGTGAATAATGTGTTTCAATTAGTTATTAAAACAATAAAACACCAATCAGTTATCTTTCGGGACCTTGTCATGTTAAAACTTGTTTGTTTTTCATTCAATAGTAGCAGTATTAATCTGGAAGTTTAGAGGTGATTTATTTATTTTTGACCACTCACATTAAATTTTAGGCCAAAACTTTGTAAAGCACCTCATAACAAATAAAAGGAAGGCCTTAGGAAGTCATTGAAACAAATCTGCTTCATGAATATTTAAAACGCTTGACATTATCTAGAAGCAGGGTTTCTGACTGATCTGGAGAAATGAGTTAAATGATTATTCACATTATTCCTCTGGTTAAGAGAAAGAGTTTTTGTGGAAACAGCAAGCATTTTCAAAGGCAAATGAGTTATTGTGATTCTGATAACTCCATAATCAGCTGAAGTGTACAACTTCATCGACCAACCAATCAGCATACACCATGATCAGGATATTGCCTTGCTTCTCAACTCAGGAAGTCATCAAGACTCATCAGGACACAATCAAGGAGTCCCTTTGAAGTGTATGTACTTCATAGTTTAATCTTTCACAGTTTGTGGTCACTGATTTGTTCACGGAGTAGAACAAGCAATAATAAATCAAGAACAAACACTGATTTGTATAAATTTTGTTTTCCTTTGTACCAATTGTCAGACAGTTGTTGATGACAGGACTAGTCTACTCGGATTTAAGGGAAAACATCACACACCTGATGTGCCCTCAGCCATAGAAGATGTTGTGTTAGCTGTCTGACAAATGGGAGATGCCCATGGTATGTGTCAGTGTGTAAGAGTCAACATTTTCATTAACCTTCTTCATTAATTAGCGGGGTGGTCGGGTAGCCTCGTGGTTAAAGCGTTCGCTCGTAAAGCCGAAGACCCGGGTTCGATTCCCGACATGGGTACAATGTGTGAAGCCCATTTCCGGTGTTCCCCGCCGTGATTTTGCTGGAATATTGCTACAAGCGGCGTAAAACCATACTCACTCACTCACTCACTCTTCATTAATTAGAGTAGGTCCTATATGAATTCAGACTTATGAGTTAATGTGATGTACTTGAATGTTTCAGTGTCATGCGACTGCAAAGTCACTGGTAGTAATATTTCACGTCCGATTGATTTGGTTCAATATGAAATTTTGATCTTCCAGAGATGTACACTGCAAAACAGGAGATTAACTAGCATGCTACAATTTAAAACTGATAATCTCCTAGAATGAAAGTGGAAGCAATACCACTGGAAGTAAACGTCATGTTGCTTCAGCTGACCAATCATCTTCAAGAGGCACTCAATATCGGAAAGTGATCATACACGTGTTCCTTGCCAGTGCATGGTCAAGGGTATTGTATATACCAGCAGGACTTCTGCATCACAGAAAACCCTGAGGCCATTAAACTACAGTCAAGTCTCGTTAATCCGACACTCGTTAATCCGACACTCGGCTTTATCCGACACAAATGATGGGAACCGATTGATTCAGTGCTATTTAGTCCCGTTAATCCGACATTCTCGCACTCCGACTCAGACACACCTAATTTGCAACGAATTACCGAAATCACTCATTAATCAGTCTCGTTAATCCGACACAGTGATCAGCGTACTCCGTGGTCATCTGCCCGTGAGTACACAGCCAGTGTTTTGACACGCACTGGCTGCAGAGATTAACTTAACAATTAACAGGAAAAGCTATTCAAACCTGTATGTACAAAGCTATACAAATGTAGTTTACAAATTGAAGCCAGATAAATGTGCATGAAGCCAGCTTATTTCGTTTTTAATGATTTTATTACAAGGTACACACAGTTATTATCTATCGTGAAGACGTCCGATTTTCAATCACAAATCAATTAATTTCGTTAATCCGAAATACTCGTTAATCCGACACAATCACGTGCAACCAACGATGTCGGATTAACGAACCTTGACTGTATACCATTTGTTTCTATTTCCTAATTATGTAAAATGTAATGTAACAGTCTACCCTCCCCTTATCCAGGGTATAATATTCCACAATGAGTAAACTGTGTGGGCATACTGCTTCAGAGAAACTCCCTGATATGCATTTAGCCCTTATATTCACCCTGTCATCATTTTCTGAAGGCCGATCACAGACCTCTAGACAAGCTGCATACTTGCGTGCAATAAAAAATAAATATATATCCCCATTCCACAATTAATTTTGAATTGTGTGAATACAAAAAGTCCTGGAATATACATAAGGAACAAGAGTCCAATATCACTTTCCATGCCTATCCAACCGTGTGCGTGACAGTGCTACCCACCAGTAGAGCGCCTCTCCTGTTGTAGAGGATGTCTCCGTTGTGTAGATGCGGCACCGCGCGGCCTGTCAGCAGCAGGTTGATGAGAGATGGGGTGCATTCCTCCATGTCTGTCAGCAGCTTCAACTTGCTGTCTTCTGGCATGTCCATGTCTTCTCGAACTCTGCAACACAACAAACATAGATAAAGAATACTACACTCGGTCCCGTGTAAAACCAATTTTAAGAAATTCGTGTAAAGAGTTCTGGCATTTGACAAACGAATACCAATTTTATGAAATCCTTGAATAGTTCGCGAAAGCGAGTCATACCAGAACTATTCACAAATTTCATAAAAGTGGTATTACATGGGAGAGAGTTTAGTATTATATTTATTACTTATCATTACTTTTTTAAAAGTTTCATTGTTGTGTATGAATAGGCAGACATCTATGCGATCCACAGCAAAATCCAAATGAGCTTACCAAAATAATACTTCAAACACATCAAAAGTTGCCATGTATGAATTGAATACCACCTTTACAATTCAGGAGTCCATTCCACAAAGCTATTGTAGCACTCAGGTTATCATAACTCCCATACTCTAACATACACCTATGACTGTCGTTGCACTACGATCACCTTGTGGAACGGGGTCCTTCAATTCACGTCACAACAGCCTGTGACGTAATTTGCGAAATATTGAAAAAATGCCATGGGAAGTCAGCCTGGCAACAGGGTTGCTGGCGTCATCGAGTGTGTTTATGCGCCTCTCAGTATTCTATCATTGGTGGATTGGTTTACTGATGTTTTCAACAGTGTTTAGTTACATCATGGTTTGTTTGCTAAACTAGTGGTGTGGTAGCAAAGTGCTTAAACTGGTGCTTAAAATGTTCGCTCATCAATCCAAATCGGAGGTTTGCTTCCCCACATTTCCAGTGTCCCCTGTTGTGATATTGTGTGATTGTGCACCTCGGAGATGATGCTATGGGAGATACGGACCTGTGCAGAGTTCTGGAGAGGACAAGGCTGTACAGGAAGAGAATACATCCACAACTGTTGTCCCCCTGGAACTGAAGGAAGGGAGACAACTCAGGTGGAGCTGAATAGTATATACAACAGCGTTAGAAACTGACACTAGTCTTATGGTCCTTGCCAAATTGTCCAATAGTTAAGGTATCATAAGGACTAGTAGAAATTTGCCATTTTTAAGGGTTTTGCTATATGTTATCATTATAAGGACTGGAAAACTAAAAGAGTTAATTTCTATCGCTGCACATGCAGGTGTCTATCACAAGTCGTGTAAAAGCTCACAGGTGGTTGATCTATGATTTCAAAGCTACTGAAAATTTATTCAGATTGAAGTTGTCCGGCTTTATCAGTATTAAAATGTATGAAATCATGACCAGCAATCAGATTACTAAATGAGTTCGCGTCCGGCTAGATAACAATTTTATTACAAAACGTATCTAACGAGCGAAATATGAAATGCAATTAAAACAATATCTAACAGGGACAAGTATAATTTATTTATTACTCACTTAAACTTAGCACTTTATCAAAATCCATTGTTGAAAACAGAAGTTGGCATAATGGTGGCATATGAAAAGAACAGTTGTATCTGATTACTCAACCAGAGACTGTTCCCTCAAGGAGCAACCTGGCAATAAAGTACGTAGCTTTATCCAAGATCAATTAAAAAAATGATAATTATGTTCATAATAGAATTTATAGACACAAACTTCTCCAAGTTAACAACATCTGCATTCAACAGAAAATCTAGCCTCAAACTCGGTTCAGCGTAGAGAGAGGGAAGCTCACGAGACACAGCATACTGTCCGAGAGCCGACCAGTCATTGTTTCAACCCCTTAATGCTGAGCGCCAGTCAGGGTAACAACAAGTACCATCTATTAACATCTATTGAACCTCCGACCTTCCACTCTCCCTGATGTACAAATAGTTACCTGTTCTAAATGCCTTCTGATAAATATCCTTAAATCTTCAAGTTTCTTGAATTCAAATAGATGAAGCTGGAACAGAATTGACATATACTAAGACCTGTTTAAGCACACTGTAGTACCAAGAAAAGAGTGAAGTGTTTCCAAACAAGAGACGAAGAGGGTAACATCATTTCAAAAACACTGATTCATAGGGGTGCAACAATACGGAAGGCCTTGATATGCAGCATTAGTAATTGGCATATACAGTAAACTAGGGTTATAACGAACACGCTTATAACGAACTGACGGACATAACAAACTTACTTTTTGGTCCCGACTACTTGCTGTAGTCATGCTGTATATGTACTTATAACGAACTACGGTTATAACGAACTAAAATTAGTAGTCCCTTTGAGTTCGTTATAGTGAGTGAGTGAGTGAGTATGGTTTTACGCCGCTTTTAGCAATATTTCAGCAATATCGCGGCGGGGGACACTAGAAATGGGCTTCACACATTGTACCCATGTCGGGAATCGAACCCGGGTCTTCGGCGTGACGAGCAAACGCTTTAACCACTATGCTACCCGACCACCCCTGAGTTTGTTATAACCGTAGTTTACTGTAGTCCTATAGTCCTTGCCAAACTGCCCAATAGTAAAGGTATCCTAAGGACTAGTAGAAATGTGTCATTTTAAGGGTTTTGCTATATGTTATCATAAATAAGGACTAGTGGGCTAAACCTGATAATATCTATCGCTGATATGTATCATGATACGATGCATATCTTCATATGCCAGAATAACAACATAAAAGCCATAAACTGAAATATTTGTGACTTTCAGATGAATGATAACGTGGCACCAGCCTGTTTCTTCCTTGTTAACTGTTCTGATTTCCTCACAAAAAGGGAGGCCAAAATGATCCCCAAACAGTTGACACCAGAGTCTCTTCAACCTCGCATTCATCCCTACTCAGATGGGGGTTATTCTTCCGTGAAAAAATGCACTTTGTAAAAAAAATGGATGGCAAAACAGGTCCTTATGTATGATGTATGTCTTGACGGCCATGTATCACGGTACAGTGGATGTATCACGGTACAGTGGATGTATCACGGTACAGTTATCACGGTACAGTGGATGTATCACGGTACAGTGGATGTATCACGGTACAGTGGATGTATCACGGTACAGTGGATGTTTCACCCTCAGTGATGTACAATATTTTTCTTATTTAAGCTACACTCATGACACACTCATATGATTGTTTGTTGTTTAACGATGCACTCCACAATGTTCCAGCTATATGACCATCGTCTGTAAATAATCAAGTATGGACCAGACAATCCAGTGATTGACATCATGAGCTTTTATCTACACAATTGGGATCGATGACATGCATCAACCAAGTCAGCAAACGTGACCACATTATCCCGTAAGTCGCCTCTTATGCATGTTACGACAAGCATGAGTTGCTGAAGACCAATTCTAACCCGGATTTACCCCGAGGTAAATAGAACTTAAGGATCCAACAAATTCAAGTTGATTTTCTTTCTGCTCCAAAATGCTGTTATCATGGTAATATAAATTCAAATTCTCAAATTACAGAAATATGTCCATATCGGTGTGAAAAGTTTGTAATATGTTATCGATCACTTTCCCAAGCAATTATGAGGCAGAAGACTTGCTGTATCTCTTCTAGAAGCATACAAATGAACATGAGTCAAACATTGAGTATTTACAGACCGCCATCAGAGTTTTAGCTGGGTGCAGCATCAAACAACAAACAAAAATCATAATAACAGGTAGGCCACATCAATAAACTTTCTCACTCGCTCGGTGATGTTGTCCACACGGTATCTGTAGTCGGGGCCGAAGCAGCTGTGTTCCTGCTGCAGACACACGCAGCAACGCCGCCGCTCCCCAGCCTGCCACAGCATCTCACACAGCCCATCAATCAGGGCACGGCGCCGCTCGTAGCTGTTGGGATGCAGGGCGCTGGGAGGAAGCAGATGTCAAAGGCCAGAGTGAAATTGGTTTACATGTGATCACAAGGTCAAATATACTATGTTTACTTTTAGTCATACTCATTTTAGGGCTGTGTTTTGCGATACAGGTATTAATCTCATAAATCAGGTCTTAGTTCTTGCTACGGCTAAACAAAGTTCTGGTGACGGTGTTCTCATACTTTGCGGCACTAGTTTCAAAATAGTGACTACTCTTTTACATATTTTGACAAATTATTGATTAAAAATTTGGAAACTGAACAAAAGAACATGGTCTAGATTGTATGGATTCAGTTATATAGCTTGTAAGTGTCATTTGGAATACCCTGTGTGAAGTATTTTGAGGTTGCATAATTAGAAAACACATTCCATCTGTCACTTTCCTGATCTGGTACCGGTAAGCGACACTCTGATTGGTTGGATGAAAGGTCATTCTGACATGACCTGTGAATATTAGAATCAGGGCCAGACAATCCAATGATTGATATTGTGAGGTTGCTGGGGAATTATTTTCACCCAGAATCTGTCTACGATAGTCTTAGTGCTGTGACATTTATAAGTCAGTGTTAAAGTATAGGAGTTACGATAGTCTTAGTGCTGTGACTATTATAAGTCAGTGTTAAAGTATAGGAGTTACGATAGTCTTAGTGCTGTGACTATCATAAGTCAGTGTCAAAGTATAGAAGTTACGATAGTCTTAGTGCTGTGACTATTATAAGTCAGTGTTAAAGTATAGGAGTTATGATAGTCTTAGTGCTGTGACTGTCATAAGTCAGTGTTAAAGTATAGGAGTTTCGATAGTCTTAGTGCTATGATTGTCGTAGGTCAATGTCAAAGTATAGAAGTTATGATAGTCTTAGTGCTGTGACTATTATAAGTCAGTGTTAAAGTATAGGAGTTACGATAGTCTTAGAGCTGTGACTATTATAAGTCAGTGTTAAAGTATAGGAGTTACGATAGTCTTAGTGCTGTGACTGTCACAAGTCAGTGTTAAAGTATAGGAGTTACGATAGTCTTAGTGCTGTGACTATCATAAGTCAGTGTCAAAGTATAGAAGTTACGATAGTCTTAGTGCCGTGACTATTATAAGTCAGTGTTAAAGTATAGGAGTTACGATAGTCTTAGAGCTGTGACTGTCACAAGTCAGTGTTAAAGTATAGGAGTTACGATAGTCTAAGTGCTGTGATTGTCGTAGGCCAATGTCAAAGTATAGAAGTTACGATAGTCTCAGTGCTGTGACTATCATAAGTCAGTGTTAAAGTAAAGGAGTTACAATGGTCTTAGCGCCATGACTGTTGTTAGTCTATGCTATGTCAGTCGTGAAACAGGACCTAGATTAACAGGGTTTCCTGTATTTACCCAAGACCAAAGCAGCATCTTACCTGGAGAGGAAGATGCTGGACTGGTACTCCTTGACAAACAGCAGGTGCTTGAGCAGGAATGCTTGGACACACAGCATTAGACCTCGAGATCCACACTGAAGCAGCAGACAGACATGACAAGATCACAAGCTGGCTTCTGTGGCAGGAGGTCATCGGCTACACAGTCACATCCAGAGATGACCAATATTCAGTACCAAGTTGGCAGAAAATGTCAGTAAAAATTCCCAAATTGGAATCAAACAGGAAGTGACCCTGTGTTTGGTAGTTGTGTATCTACCTAGTGGGTGTTGATGCTGTACAGGAAGCGACCCTGTGTTTGGTAGTAGTGTATCTACCCAGTGGGTGTTGATGCCGTACAGGAAGTGACCCTGTGTTTGGTAGTTGTGTATCTACCTAGTGGGTGTTGATGCCGTACAGGAAGTGACCCTGTGTTTGGTAGTAGTGTATCTACCCAGTGGGTGTTGATGCCGTACAGGAAGTGACCCTGTGTTTGGTAGTTGTGTATCTACCTAGTGGGTGTTGATGCCGTACAGGAAGTGACCCTGTGTTTGGTAGTAGTGTATCTACCCAGTGGGTGTTGATGCCGTACAGGAAGTGACCCTGTGTTTGGTAGTTGTGTATCTACCTAGTGGGTGTTGATGCCGTACAGGAAGTGACCCTGTGTTTGGTAGTAGTGTATCTACCCAGTGGGTGTTGATGCCGTACAGGAAGTGACCCTGTGTTTGGTAGTTGTGTATCTACCTAGTGGGTGTTGATGCCGTACAGGAAGTGACCCTGTGTTTGGTAGTAGTGTATCTACCCAGTGGGTGTTGATGCCGTACAGGAAGCGACCCTGTGTTTGGTAGTAGTGTATCTACCCAGTGGGTGTTGATGCCGTACAGGAAGTGACCCTGTGTTTGGTAGTTGTGTATCTACCCAGTGGGTGTTGATGCCGTACAGGAAGTGACCCTGTGTTTGGTAGTAGTGTATCTACCCAGTGGGTGTTGATGCCGTACAGGAAGTGACCCTGTGTTTGGTAGTAGTGTATCTACCTAGTGGGTGTTGATGCCGTACAGGAAGTGACCCTGTGTTTGGTAGTAGTGTATCTAACCAGTGGGTGTTGATGCCGTACAGGAAGTGACCCTGTGTTTGGTAGTAGTGTATCTACCCAGTGGGTGTTGATGCTGTACAGGAAGCGACCCTGTGTTTGGTAGTTGTGTATCTACCTAGTGGGTGTTGATGCCGTACAGGAAGTGACCCTGTGTTTGGTAGTAGTGTACCTACCCTATGGGTGTTGATGCCGTACAGGAAGTGTCCCTGTGTTTGGTAGTAGTGTATCTACCCAGTGGGTGTTGATGCTGTACAGGAAGCGACCCTGTGTTTGGTAGTTGTGTATCTACCTAGTGGGTGTTGATGCCGTACAGGAAGTGTCCCTGTGTTTGGTAGTAGTGTACCTAGCCTGTGGGTTTTGATGCCGTACAGGAAGTGTCCCTGTGTTTGGTAGTAGTGTATCTACCCTATGGGTGTTGATGTCGTTCAAAAAGTGACCCTGTGTTTGGTAGTTGTGTATCTACCCAGTGGGTGTTGATGTCGTACAGGAAGTGTCCCTGTGTTTGGTAGTAGTGTACCTAGCCTGTGGGTTTTGATGCCGTACAGGAAGTGTCCCTGTGTTTGGTAGTAGTGTACCTAGCCTGTGGGTTTTGATGCCGTACAGGAAGTGACCCTGTGTTTGGTAGTAGTGTACCTACCCTATGGGTGTTGATGTCGTTCAAAAAGTGACCCTGTGTTTGGTAGTTGTGTATCTACCCTATGGGTGTTGATGTCGTTCAAAAAGTGATCCTGTGTTTGGTAGTAGTGAACCTATCCTGTGGGTGTTGATGTTGTACAAGAAGCTACCCTGTGTTCGGTAGCTGTACCTCGACCTACCCTTTGAGCATTGATGCCGTATGGAAAGCGTCCCTCCAGGTGCTGGAAGGCCAGACTAGACTTCTGCCACTCCCGACTGAAGGAGTGGTGACAAGACCCATACACAATCATTCGCAGATCCTGCAGGAGAAAGACTTACATAGAAAACAATACATAGAATTACTGTAAATCATCAATTTAATGCCATCATGAAATTTATGTGAAAATGCAAGTATTCCTCGCTTGCATTAATAAAGTGATGCATTTTTATCTGGATATATTGGAGTAAAAATGTCTGGTTCGTGACATACATTGACAAGCTCCTAATAAACAATTTATTTAATATAATCCGCAGTGAGATGGGTGTTCCCCTGGTGACTAACAATGGCTGTCTGTAGGCAGATGGGTGTCCCCCCGATGACGCCGTGAGCTGGAGCCCCGAGTCTCCCTGCTGGCATCAACAAGGACCCCCGGCTGTCTGCTGGGAAGGAGAATGTCAGTTTTATCAAGTGTGAAAAGGCATTTCAACATTGGTTAGTTTACGGAATTAAAATGTGGAAAAGACAGTTAATAATTTGTTTTGCTGTTGAATTATTTCAGTGCACAAATTCATGAATCTTCCCTTCCCCACTATAACACATGCAAGCCCCCGTACCTGTGTTTGGTGACTCCCCCGCCCATCTGTCTATGCTAAATGTCTTCACTTCCCTCCCCTCCCCTCCCCACTGTAACACAAGCAAGCCCCTGTACCTATGTTTGGTGACTCCCCCAGCCATCTGTCTACATAGAATGTCTTCATTCCCCTCCCCTCCCCTCTATAACACATGCCAGCCCCCGTACCTGTGTTTGGTGACTGCCCTGCCCATCTGTCTACGTAGAATGTCTTCATTCCCCTCCCCTCCCCTCTATAACACATGCCAGCCCCCGTACCTGTGATTGGTGACTCCCCCAGCCATCTGTCTACATAGAATGTCTTCATTCCCCTCCCCTCCCCTCTATAACACATGCCAGCCCCCTACCTGTGTTTGGTGACTCCCCGGCCCATCTGTCTATGCTAAATGTCTTCACTTCCCTCCCCTCCCCTCCCCTCCCCACTATAACACAAGCAAGCCCCTGTACCTATGTTTGGTGACTCCCCAAGCCATCTGTCTATGTAGAATGTCTTCACTCCCCTTCCTACTGTAAAACATGCAAGCCCCCATACCTGTGTTTGGTGACTCCCCCAGCCATCTGTCTATGTAGAATGTCTTTACTCCCCTCCCCTTCCCACTGTAACACATGCCAGCCCCCGTACCTGTGTTTAGTGACTCCCCCAGCCATCTGTCTATGCTTAATGTCTTCACTCCCCTCCCCTTCCCACTGTAACACATGCAAGCCCCCGTACCTGTGTTTAGTGACTCCCCCAGCCATCTGTCTATGCTTAATGTCTTCACTCCCCTCCCCTTCCCACTGTAACACATGCAAGCCCCCGTACCTGTGTTTAGTGACTCCCCCAGCCATCTGTCTATGCTTAATGTCTTCACTCCCCTCCCCTCTCCACTGTAACACATGCAAGCCCCCGTACCTGTGTTTAGTGACTCCCCCAGCCATCTGTCTATGCTTAATGTCTTCACTCCCCTCCCCTCCCCACTATAACACATGCAAGCCCCCTACCTGTGTTTGGTGACTCCCCCAGCCATCTATCTATGCTTAATGTCTTCACTCCCTTCCCCTCCCCACTGTAACACATGCCAGCCCCCTGCATGTGTTTGGTGACTCCCCCAGCCATCTGTCTATGTAGAATGTCTTCACTCCCCTCCCATCCCCACTATAACACATGCCAGCCCCAGTACCTGTGTTTGGTGACTCCCCCAGCCATCTGTCTATGTAGAATGTCTTTACTCCCCTCCCCTCCCCACTATAACACATGCAAGCCCCCTACCTGTGTTTGGTGACTCCCCCAGCCATCTATCTATGCTTAATGTCTTCACTCCCTTCCCCTCCCCACTGTAACACATGCCAGCCCCCTACCTGTGTTTGGTGACTCCACCAGCCATCTGTCTATGTAGAATGTCTTCACTCCCCTCCCATCCCCACTATAACACATGCCAGCCCCAGTACCTGTGTTTGGTGACTCCCCCAGCCATCTGTCTATGTAGAATGTCTTCACTCCCCTCCCATCCCCACTATAACACATGCCAGCCCCAGTACCTGTGTTTGGTGACTCCCCCAGCCATCTGTCTATGTAGAATGTCTTTACTCCCCTCCCCTCCCCACTATAACACATGCAAGCCCCCTACCTGTGTTTGGTGACTCCCCCAGCCATCTGTCTATGTAGAATGTCTTTACTCCCCTCACCACTATAACACATGCCAGCCCCCTACCTGTGTTTGGTGACTCCCCCAGCCATCTGTCTATGTAGAATGTCTTCACTCCCCTCCCCTCCCCACTGTAACACATGCAAGCCCCCTACCTGTGTTTGGTGACTCCCCCAGCCATCTGTCTATGTAGAATGTCTTCACTCCCCTCCCCTCCCCACTATAACACATGCCAGCCCCCTACCTGTGTTTGGTGACTCCCCCAGCCATCTGTCTATGTAGAATGTCTTCACTCCCCTCCCCTCCCCACTATAACACATGCAAGCCCCCGTACCTGTGTTTGGTGACTCCCCCAGCCATCTGTCTATGTAGAATGTCTTCACTCCCCTCCCCTCCCCTCCCCACTGTAACACATGCAAGCCCCCTACCTGTGTTTGGTGACTCCCCCAGCCATCTGTCTATGTAGAATGTCTTCACTCCCCTCCCCTCCCCACTATAACACATGCCAGCCCCCTACCTGTGTTTGGTGACTCCCCCAGCCATCTGTCTATGTAGAATGTCTTCACTCCCCTCCCCTCCCCACTGTAACACATGCAAGCCCCCTACCTGTGTTTGGTGACTCCCCCAGCCATCTGTCTATGTAGAATGTCTTCACTCCCCTCCCCTCCCCACTATAACACATGCCAGCCCCCTACCTGTGTTTGGTGACTCCCCCAGCCATCTGTCTATGTAGAATGTCTTCACTCCCCTCCCCTCCCCACTATAACACATGCAAGCCCCCTACCTGTGTTTGGTGACTCCCCCAGCCATCTGTCTATGTAGAATGTCTTCACTCCCCTCCCCTCCCCACTGTAACACATGCAAGCCCCCTACCTGTGTTTGGTGACTCCCCCAGCCATCTGTCTATGTAGAATGTCTTCACTCCCCTCCCCTCCCCACTATAACACATGCCAGCCCCCTACCTGTGTTTGGTGACTCCCCCAGCCATCTGTCTATGTAGAATGTCTTCACTCCCCTCCCCTCCCCACTATAACACATGCAAGCCCCCTACCTGTGTTTGGTGACTCCCCCAGCCATCTGTCTATGTAGAATGTCTTCACTCCCCTCCCATCCCCACTATAACACATGCCAGCCCCCTACCTGTGTTTGGTGACTCCCCCAGCCATCTGTCTATGTAGAATGTCTTCACTCCCCTCCCCTCCCCACTGTAACACATGCAAGCCCCCTACCTGTGTTTGGTTACTCCCCCAGCCATCTGTCTACGTAGAATGTCTTCACTCCCCTCAACTCCCCGCTATAACACATGCCAGCCCCATACCTGTGTTTGGTGACTCCCCCAGCCATCTGTCTACGTAGAATGTCTTCACTCCCCTCAACTCCCCGCTATAACACATGCCAGCCGCATACCTGTGTTTGGTTACTCCCCCAGCCATCTGTCTATGTAGAATGTCTTCACTCCCCTCAACTCCCCGCTATAACACATGCCAGCCGCATACCTGTGTTTGGTGACTCCCCAAGCCATCTGTCTATGTAGAATGTCTTCACTCCCCTCAACTCCCCGCTATAACACATGCCAGCCCCATACCTGTGTTTGGTGACTCCCCCAGCCATCTGTCTACGTAGAATGTCTTCACTCTCTGACTTAGCTGTGGCTTCTCAGTAGAATCTAATTTCTTCTGGAAAAGTAATAAAATCACAACATCAAAGAAATGTTGTCCTAATTGCCATAAATACAGTGAAATAAGTACATTGTGGTGACTGGGTATTTAAAGGCGTTGAAACTACTTGCAGGTGAAACCATGCTTACATCTTATAGAGCATATTTATATTTCTGTATTCTGGAATTGCAATCTCACTGTTATAAATAAAAATTTAATTGAAAAATACAAATATTTTTTTGTAGTATTTAAAAGAAGAGGAAAGATGGAACGATGAAAATTGGACCTGACAATGCTGAGAGTGAATGTTGAGAGTGAATGCTAAGAGTGAATGCTGAGAGTGTGTGGGGTAGTCAGTGATTGGGAGAGAGTGGGGATTTTGAGAAATGTGACAACACAACGAGTGAGTGATTTCATTAACATTTCCATGGTGAACATTAACAAATTTCTATTACCAACTTTTCTCAAATAAAACTGAGAGGTTCTAAGTAAAACATTTCATGATCAACATACAATTACCCAATCATGCAATGTTTTCTTAAAAAGTTCAAGAAAACATCTGATAGACCTTAACAGGATTTGACGAAAGACTGACAGAGTTTTCTAAATAGAAGTTTCTCTTAGGTTTTAGGTGGTTGTGACATGGAGGGCTAAAGGCACTGCAGCTCACTTGATACTAACTCTACTTGTTTATACAGAGGAAGGGGTGTGAGAAAGTGAACTGGGTTTGACACTGCCTGAAACAGTTAGGGATTTATCTAAGATTTTAAACAAATTGTGCATGGCAGGCAAATTGGGAAAATAAATCATCCTTCTGTTCAAAATTTAGAATTAGTTTTGAATTCTTATGTTCTGAAACTTTGAGTGTTTTAACATTGCATTCAATGCAATAATGTAAAACTAAGCAAATAAAAACATATACCATTACTTGACCTGTTATCAGTAAAACACAAGTCAACAAAGTCATAAAATTAGATGAATAATGTATCTTGTAGAGTAAAAATATCATTTATACTTATCCTGACTCATACTTATTGCTTATGTAGTGGCCATAAAATTTCCGAGTCCCGTGATGGGATTCGAACCACAGACCTTCTGATCCGAGGTCGGAAGCCTTGTCCACATGACCAAAGATGTTAACCCTTTCAGCAAGCTGACAAGGTAAGGATGTCATCTGTGGGATGACTCCATGCCCTGCTACATACTCCCTCGTCAACAGAAGGCCTGTCCCGAGCCGCATAGTAGGGTACTGAGACTCATTTTGCTCAAATATAATATGAACGTGCTCAGCACCATGGCATGTTGGGCGCCATTGTAGCGGACATAAAATTTCCGAGTTCCGTGATGGGATTCGAACCACGGACCTTCTGATCCAAGGTCGGACGCCTTGTCCACGTTACCTAAGAGGTTAACCCCGTCAGCAAGCTGACAAGGTTAGGATGTCATCTGTGGGATGACTCCACGCCCTGCTACACTTATTTCATCTCATTTCCGTAAG